TCTGGCTGTGTCTCTCTCTGTCAAATAAATAAATAAAATCTTAAAAAAAAAATTATTTTCCTTACAATAATATTTTTTAAAGATTTTATTTTTAAGTCATCTCTATACCCAACATGGGGCTCGAACCCACAACCCTGAGATCAAGAGTCACATGCTCTACCGACTGAGCCAGCCAGGCGCCCCACATTTTCTTACAATGATCTTTTATGTGTCCTATACCATCCAATCACTTTTTCAAATATTTATTAAGCCTCTACTGCATACAAGCCTTTGCTTTTGGTCTGGAACATGAGCTGGCTTTAAGAATGACACATTTTCAAGAGCAATAGTAACTACATAAAGAATAGGAAAAATGTAATAGACTAAAAGCAATTTTTGTAATTTTCTTTCCTATGTAACTCATTTTTCCCGTTGGTTTAGAAATATTCTTGCTGAAATTTCTAATGGTACAAATGGAGCACAGCAAATGGCCAAGCTGTTTTGTAAACTCTCAAGGATGAGAATCTCGAGTGCCACAGAAAGTGGACAATTTTGTCCCATGGCAGAGATCTCCAGGCACCTACACTAGTGTTACGTTTCATTAGACTCTGAAATGACACCGCATCTTCACAGCTCTTACGCAGTATTGTCGTTGTGACATTTTATTTGGTCCTTCAGTGCACCAGCTATGCGTTTTACTGTAAAACCCATGGATATCTGGCACGTTGTGGGCACTCGGGAAACGTGGACAAATGACACAGGCGGAGAGCGCTTCTGTGAAAAATGTTATGCCAAAAACTACTCGTGTCAGCTTACAGAATACTGAGGTCAAGGTGGTACCACGGTAGCAACCCTCCCAAACCCCCCTGGAATGAAATGAAATTGAGTTTATTTCGCCACCACATCAATAGTTTGTGCAATTTTGCACAGAAGAATCTTTCCGCTAGGGAAAAATACTGAGTATCATCCACTTCTAGAAGCCTTACATCCACAGGATCGGTGTTCCCAGACTTGTCCTCATGTGTGTATATATCATACACACTGTTTTGGGATTCAGTTTAAAAGGACAGCGATTTTGACAGTGACAGAGATGATCAGTGCCCAGATCTGCGCCTTTACCGTGTGCCAAGCAGGATGCTAGCCATCACTTAGTTTACCTCTCACAACACGCTAAGGGGTGGGGATGATGAGGCCCACTCACAGACGAGGAAGCTCAGAGAGCTCAAGGCACTAGCCCCAGATCACACAGCCAATCACGGCAGAGCTGGGGCTCCATCCCCACACAGCACGCACTTGGTGCGTGGTGGCTGATGCTAATTTGAGGAGCATTTTTTTCCAAGGGGGCCGGCCCTATCCCTCAACATCCAGGAGCTGTTGAATCCCATGGGTGCTCTGAACTCAGAAAGTCAAGCAGCTAAGGGCTTCAGTGGTCCAGTGTGACCCCTGACCCCACCAGCCTACCCAAGCCTGCGGGGCTGTGCATCTTACCTCTTCTCGGCCCATTCCATGATTGGGTCCCACTCGTTCTTTTGCAGTTCGACTAACGTCGCCGGCTCTTCCACCCTGTAGCTAATTCATTGCAAAAATCACCTTCATTAATAAAAAAGCATAATTCCTTCACTCAGTGACAGACAATGGAAAAACCTAAAAGGCAAGAGTAAAATAAAACTTCTCAACTCCCCCCGCCCCGGCCAAGCCCTACAAGTCCTTCCCTAAAGCAGTTCTCAGAGGGTAGCCTTGGGGCCAGCAGCAGAGAGTCCCCTGGGAACTTGCTACAAAGGCCAGTTCCCAGGTCCCACCCCACACCTACGGAAAGCAGAACCTCTGGGGGTGGAGACCAGCAATCTGTGTTTTAACGAGCCCTCCAGGGGATTCTACCACAGGCTTGAGTTTGAGAACTACTGTCCTAAACGTCCCTTGTTACTTCACAGACCAAGGCTTGCGGCACTAGGTCAATGCGATTCTAAACACTAATACTGCACCCCCAGATCCACACCCACCTGACCCTAGGATGCTGCGCCAGCTCAGTCACTGCACCTCTACCTCCCCTAATCCTTCTAAGAGACTGCACCCCTTGGCCACAAACTGCCCGTGCACACTGCATGAGCCTGCACGGCTCCCGACGCAGCTGCTGGCTTGGGTCCCCACCTGGTGCCAAGCTATCCCACTTGTTTCGACCAAGAGACACAGAAATGGGAGTCAGTGTGGGGAGCTGAGGGGCAAGGCCCCTGGGGACCAGAAGAGGAGGGGGCACCGTGGAAAGCCACAGTGCGTTGTGAGCAGCAGGGAGAAGAGAGGTCATGAGTGCACAGGAAAATGGGCAGCTGAGAGGAGAGTTGTGCTTGACCAGGTCTGCTGTTTCTCGAACTTTCCTTCAACACCACTGACCAGTTAGCTAAAGAATCTAGACGCGAGGGGAGAATTCAGAAGTGGAAGAAGCCCCTGACATCAACCACCGACCATCCCTGTGTCCAAGCAGATGAGTGACGATAAGGATGCCTACGTGAGGGTGGGCGGAAGTCCAGGATCGGAGGCCCCGCTGGGGGTTGAAAAGTGACCCCCTTGGTCCTGAAGGCTGCCAAGAGCTGCATATGCTACCCCCGCACCCCAGCCCAGACCCAGGGATAGCTGCTGGGCCGCAGGAGAGGAGCGCCCGGTGCTCTTGTAAGGCGGCAGCCTGAGGAGCCCTCCCTCCCAGGGATCCGCAGGGCAGCTAAGTGGTGATGTCAGGCAGACCACCTCCCTGCCCTGGCAGATAAAGGAAAAGGAAGGGTCTGCCTCTCCTTCCGCTGATAACGGTCTGGGCAAATGAGGCAAACAGCCCAGGGGACCCGCTCAGTCCCAGGGGAGGGCCCATCTAAATGTCAATTACCAGATGGTGTCGGTGTCCAGAAACTTCACAGCTGCCCGGATCAGCTGGTCCTTGTTCCGCTGGGTAGGGTTGTCTAAAGACGTGTTGCACAGTGTGGTCTGAAGCAAGAGGCAAGAAGCGCTGTCACCACCGGTGGGCCCAGGCAGATGCACTGCACTCCAGAAGGATACTGCTGCTGACCCAGAGCAACACGGAGAACCCAGGCAGCACCACCCAGGGAGTGCCAGAGCCAAATGGAAGCCCTAGACCCCTGGTATCTCCACAACCTCAGCTGTAGCCCATCTGCTGAGCGCCTTTGACAGCCAGGCTCCGAGCCGAACGCGGCGTGTGACAGCCTGTGGGCCCAGGGGAGACTCATAGTCACCCCAGGAGTAACAAACCTCCCCCAGGTCTCACGATCCCACTACCAGGCTCTGCTATATTTCAACGAATCCTCATGACACCCTCTGGAGTAGGTACTGCTATTACAACCATTTCAGAGATGTAGAAACTGAGGCCCAGAGAGGTCAGTTACTAGAACTCAGATCTGACTGAGAAGCCCCAAGCTGGCCCCCTGACCACCTCAGGAAGCAGGGAAACAAATGAGCCAAAGCAGAAGCAGGGTGACTTTCCCAGCTAGGTGGCTTCAGTACTAGGACAATTAGTTTGCAGCCGTGTCACCCTCATTTCCTCAGATGGCCAAAGGAGCAGGCCAGCCCCACGGCAGGCTGTGAAGATGCTGAGGACGCCCGCCTGGGTCTGTATGTCAAGGCCGAGCACGGGAATGACCAGGACAACAGCACTGTTTCCCGTGCTGAGTGTTCTCCCTGTGCCAAGAACCACATCAAAGATGTTCCAGCATCACATCACCCATCCTGATCACCTTTCACAGATGGGGACCACGGGGCTGAGAAGGGCCAGTAGCTTGCCCAAGGTGACGGTTTGGAAGCCGCAGAGCCCAGACCTGAAGAGTTTAGCCAGCCCCTGCCCCGGTCTGTTCTAGTGTCTCAGCGAGCCACCACGTGTGGATGGAGGGCGCCGCTCGAAGGGGAGCTGTCTCACCTCACCCACCTGGCCCCGTGCGTTCCTACACTCAACCAATACCCACTGAGTGCCAACTGAGCCTCAAGCGCGGGGCTGGCTATGGACTGGTGAGACAAACATGGCCCGGCCCTTCTGGGCTCACCAGGCGGCGGAAGAGACAGACTCTGAGAGTGCAAACATCGAATGGACAATTATCAATTGCATATGTGCTGGCAAAAGAAATGAGCAGGTGGCGTGACAGAAAATAAGAGAGCTGGGCATCGAGGGAAGGTGACACCTCTCCTGAGACCAGAGGAGGAACCAGTCATCCAGGACGGTGTTCTGAGCACGGGAACCACAGGGGGCCAGGTGGGGAATGGTCAGCACGTTCAAGGAGGTGAGTGTGGCAGAAGTCCACCCCCGAGGGCCTTATCCGAATTTGGAAAAGAGTCTCGATTTTTGCCAGCTACCCTAGGAAACTAGCCGCGGGCATTGGGGTAGAGGTTCGGGAACTTGTTACCAGGTGCATGGTGTAGAACTTGATGGTGTCCTGCTGGGAGTCCCATTCAGTGGCCACCGCGATGGCCAAGGCCTCGCTGGGGACAGTAAAGAGCTTGGCTTGGGGAGTTTTCAGCTTCCTGTGGTCCAGGTTTATCTCAAAGCCACCTTGAAAGATCAAATGAAAAGCTCTCAGGGATTGTTAAGTGGAATCGAGTGACCATTCCTATATTTAGCTACTTGAATCAGTGCAGACAAAGACAACTGTGAGTCCCTTCACGGAGGGCTTACAGAAACCTCCCCAACAAAAGCACGAAGGGTAATCTCACCACTGAAACCGGCCAGAGATGAAAAATGTTTCTACCCATTCACAGGGAAAAAAAAGGAAAAGAAAAAGAAAAAGAGGCAGTCAAAATTTCAGACACTCACCTTCACCCTGTGTGATGCTGACATTCTGATAAAACCTCTTCCTTTCTGTAAAAGAGATTTTTCAAAAAGGCAGTTTAAAATAACATCGAGACAGCTCAGGAAGTGACAAGACCGGCTTGTGTCATTACTGCTAATGCTGATTGATTGGCTTGATTTTCATATCGCTATTCAAGGTCTGCCCTACTCTACGTGGTGTAATCAACGGCTCCTGATTAAAGCTGGGGCGGGGGGGGGGGGGGAGGGCATTCACTCTCCACGGATGAGGGAGGGACGGGACACACTGGTCAGGCCCCCGCCAGCCCCCGAGCCCAGGGACAGTCTGATCGCAAAGCATCTCGAAGCCGCGAACTATCTGATGCGACAGATTTTTCTAGCACCTTCTGCTTTAATTTCTAGGCAGCCCCCCCCCCGCAACACACCATCCCCGCCAGCACTGCCCCCATGCCAGAACAATGTGCCCCAGTCCAAAGATGGTGTCTGAATGCGATAAAGCCAGAGGCCTAGTTTGGGCAAGAGTCTGATGCCTCTAAGACGGCAAAAGAGGAAAAGCGGTACGGACATGCGTGTGCATGTGTGTGGCACACAGGAAGTGAGGAGAGATCCCAGGAGCATCTCTCATCCTCTCTATCCAATTAATTAACCTAATTAACCAGCATGCCTGCGTATTCAACGGGAACTCCAAACATTCAAGAAAGGGGAAAATAGGGCGCCTGGGTGGCTCAGTCAGTTAAGCAACTGCCTTCGGCTCAGGTCATGACCCCAGAGTCACAGGATCGAGTCCCGCATCGGGCTCCCTGCTTGGCAGGGAGTCTGCTTCTCCCTCTGACCCTCTGCCCTCTCATGCTCTCTCTCAAATAAATAAAATCTTTTTTAAAAATTTTTTAAAAAGTGGGGAGAATATGCGACCTGTGAGATCTGAAAATAACTTGAATATAACCTTCTATGAAAATGTAAACAGGGGCGCCTGAGTGGCTCAGTCGGTTAAGCGACTGCCTTCGGCTCAGGTCATGATCCTGGAGTCCCGGGATCAAGTCCCACATCGGGCTCCCTGCTCGGCAGGGAGTCTGCTTCTCCCTCTGACCCTCTTCCCTCTCGTGCTATCTCTCATTCTCTCTCTCTCAAATAAATAAATAAAAATCTTTAAAAAAAAAAAAAGAAAATGTAAACAAATCCCCTCTTAAAACTAAGAGTGCCTCCTAAGGAATTATGCAGACTCCGTTTACTAATAAAGAACAAATAGGTCACATTTTGGAAGCTAAAAACCATAACCCAGCTGTAACATTTGCAATAAACACAAAACCTTGGGGCGCCTGGGTGGCTCAGTTGGTTAAGCGACTGCCTTCAGCTCAGGTCATGATCCTGGAGTCCCGGGATCGAGTCCCACATCGGGCTCCCTGCTCAGCGAGGAGCCTGCTTCTCCCTCTAACCCTCTTCTCTCTCATGTGCTCTCTCTCTCTCTCATTCTCGTTCTCTCAAATAAATAAATAAATCTTTTAAAAATAAATAAATAAACACAAAACCTTGCCTCATTCGCTTGTTCGTTCTGTCACAAAAATCACTGGGGGCTAAGAGCCTTCAGTGTCCCTGACTAAAGTCACTTGTTGGACACACTGATGCAGCATGGGGAGGAGGAGATTCATTCATTTTGAATGCTTTAGAAAAAAAAAACCCAAAGAAGAAAAACCACGCTTAAGTTAAAATTAAGTCAAACAGACGATGAAAATCAGGAAAACTTCGTTTGTGCGGGGGGGAGGGTTGGTGGAGGGAGGGTGTCTGGCCTCCAAACGCGGTGTTTTTCGGTTTTCCACATCACGTCAGTTTTTTCATCAGTCTCATGCTCTATCGTTGACGCTTTCCCAAAAAGGGCCCCAAATTGCATTTCCACAGCTGTGTTTTACTCAACAAAGGCCCGAACTGTTTCCCGACCAAAAAAAATTGCACGTCTACCATGTGCCAGGTACCATTCTAGGTATGTGGGATCAAACAGCGAATAAAAATGCCAAAAATCACTGTCTTTATGTAGTTTAAATAGTTAAAAAAAAAAAAAAGTGATAGGATCTGGCCACCAAGATGATGCTGTATTATTATGGCATGAATTGCCACCTCTATCTGAAATCATAATAGCGATTCTCTCACGCGTTTAACACCAAAATGGAATGTTTACCTCATCCTGGTGCTTTTGAATGCCCCAAGTTCACATGCCATCCGGTCACATTCAGAGAGTGGATGAGACAAGAATCTGGAGGCCTCCTTGTGTAGGTCTGGAGGCCTGGATTGAGGCACCCGGACCACATCCAGTATGTTCTCCAATGCCTGAGCTGGGCAACGTGTCCAGAGCCAGACCAGGCAGGAAGTGGGAAGAGCTGTGAAAGCTGATTCATCATCGCTGGGGGAAGGATCTGCCCTCATCAGCAGGAAGTGCCAGCAGAGAGCATTCTAGCACATGGCTGGACACAGCCCTGGGAGATGGGCCCAAGAGACCTGGATTCGGGACAGAAACTGACAGCATGGGCTGAACCTAAAGCTGCCAGGATGGCGAGGTTTCCCATGAGGGAAGTCTTTTTTTTCCTCTGCTTTGGTGGTCAGGCCTTGCTTCCTCTGTTCTGGCCAGGTCCCCCTCTGTGCCTGATTAAGAGGAAAAAAATGGAAGGGAGTGGGAAGGATAGAAGGGCGAGGCTGGGTCAACCAAAATTGCTCATAACAGCAGTAAACCCTGCAGAAAGACAGGACGGCTCCAGGCAAAAGGAGCACAAAGGCTGCCGGGCCTCTGAAGAGGGCAGGCACCCCCCCCCACCCACCGCCCCGTGCAGCGTGTTTTAGACAGGTGCTCTCCCGAATGCAGTGGATACGTGGAGGGGCAAACTCATCTTGGAACAAACTTCGGTGAGTACTAATCCTGTTCCAGGAAGCAGGGTAAGTCCTGCGGATCGAAATCAAAGCTTGCCCCTGCCCTCAGGCACTTCCTGTCTACTGGGAAGCCGAACACTAAACCAGCCAAACAGTGAAGTCACTGAAGGCCAAAGGCCAAGGATCACTGGAGACACACACCAGGAGAGCCTAATCTCATCATGGGATAAAGGAAGACCTCCAAGAGGTCAGATTTCCTCCGAGACCTGATGGTGAGGAAGGAGTTAGCCAATCTGCACCGATGGATTCGTTTCTTGGCGGGGGGGGGGGGGGGGGGGGGGGGGGGGTGGAAGGCATTTCTAGCAGAAGAAACAGCTTACACGAAGGTTCTCAGCCTCACGAGAGCATGAGAGTTTGGAGAACTAAAACCATGGACGAAAGGACAAGACTGATCTGTGCCAGATCTGGGGGAGGGGGCTGGGTAGGTCACAGTATGGAGGCATAGGGAGCCAAGTTAGGGATTCACATAAGCAAACAAAGCCGGGATCTAGAAAATTCATTTGGTGGAATCCATGACCCCCAACATGTTCTTCACCTGGGCCCTCAATGGCCTTGGGTCACAGAAAATAAATGATGAGACCCAGAACATTGAAGCACCCATGTTCTCAGTGAACACGGGACAAACTGACAGCAACAGGAACCTCATCTTTAAAGATGAAATTAACAGCCTCGCCTTTGAGCTCACACAGAACTCCGGTCTATTCTGAGTATGATTCGCTCCCTTTAGAGAACATTTGTTTCAGTGGCAAAAACATACTCAGTGCCTTTTAGGAGTGGATTATGCAGATACAAAGAAATAGGTACGTGAAAAAGTGTTGAATTAAAAGCTGGCCACAAGAAAACAGGCTATTTAAGCAGAGAACTTAAAAAACTACTCATGTGTAGTGCTGAATTGGAAATTAATGTCCATCAGCAGGTCCCTTTTTCCTATGAGGTTTTTTCAATCCATATAAAGAAACAGGGTGTTTCTGTGTCACTTCCCCTACATTCCTCCTCCTGTCCCAGGCCTCACAGACTAGTGAGTGATCTTTCTACCAGACTCAATTTTCGCCGGGCCTTTGCTTTGGAAAGACTCAAAGCCTCAGAACTACGACTCCCACAGTGCACCAAGAACAGAGGAAGTGCCCTCTGCCAGAGGTCTCAACACCTTTATCTTTTTAAACAGTGCCATCTGGCGGGCCTTACGCCTTAAAGCTACATTTGACTTAGGGCATCCCTCCATCCATAATCCTAGGGCGGCTCCAATCGTTTTCAGGTATCAAAATTCTTCAGACCAACTATTTAAGAACTCTTACAACTCAATGATAAAAAGACAACCCAATTAAAAACTGGCCAAAGAATCTGAATAGAGATTTCTCCAAAGAAAATATATAAAATAAGTACATGAAAAGATGCTGGACGTCATCATCATCAGGGAAACGCAAAACAAAACGAGGAGAAACTATTTCACACCCACTAGGATGGCTATAATTAAAAAAAAAAAACAAAAACAACGAGATAATAACTAGTGTTGGCAAGGATGTGGACAAAGTGGGACCTTCATACACTGCTGGTGGAAATGTAAACTGAAAAGCGTGGCAGTTAAACCGTGGAAGAGTGCGGCTGTTCTCAAAAAGTCAAACAGTTGCCATGTGACCAGCAAGTCTACTCTTAGATCTGTACCTATGAGAAATGAAAACATATGCCCAAACAAAAAACCACAAACAAAAAAAAACATATGCCCACATAAAAACTTATACACAAGTGTTTATAGGCAGCATTCAGAATAGCCAAAAGAGGGAAACAACCCAAATGTTCATCAGTGGATGAATGGATAAATAAGATATAAGGCCATACAATGGAATATTACTCAGCTATGAAAGACAATGGAGTACTGATAAATGCTACAACTTGGATAAACCTTGAAAATAGACTAAATGTAAAAAAGCCAGCCAGAAAAGACCACATTCCATTTATGAAATGTCCAAACTAGGGAAATCTATACAGACAGAAAGTAAAATAGTGGTTGTCTAGGGAGGATGGGAAAGGCAGGGAAGAAGATGATAGCCAAAGGGTACAGGGCTTCTTTTGGGGTGACAAAAGTGTTCTAGAACTTTGTTGATAGCTGTACAACTCTGTGAGTATACTAAAAACCACCGAATTATACATTTTAAATAAATGAACTCTAAGTGAACTGAATCTCAATAAAGCTGTTAAAAAAATCTTCAGGGCAAATGCATCTGCCACAGCAAGTAATGTAAATGAGCTAAATATCTAAATACAGTTTTTTTCCAAATTGCTCTACCATCCTGGGGAGGGGTTGGCCAACTTTTTCCATAAAGAGCCAGAGTAAATATTTTAGCCTTGGCAGGCCATATGGTCTCTGTTGCAACCAGTCAACTCAGTAGTTAAAGTAGCCTTAGATTATATGAAAATGAATGGGCATGGCTGTGTTCCAATAAAACTTTATTTAAAAAACAGGTAGCAGGCTGGGCTTTATCTACAGAATCTCCCTCAACCCAACACAACCATTCTATGAAGGCAGGCCAAGTAATGCCTCTGAAGTGGTAGACTCTGAGAAGCTAAATGACTTGTCCGGGTGACAATTTGAAAACAGAGGAGACAAGACTTTCAGCCTTGACTTCACTGGGTGTTGCACTCAGCCAGGCATGCAGCCTCTCCAGAACACCTTCCCCTCTAAACAGCTGATGGATCTCTGACAACTGGGACACAGCCGGACCACCACATACCCTCTCACAGGTCTCCTTGCTGCAAAATCTCCTCTAAAACCCCAGTGATCCTTTCCCAGCCCCCTCCTCTCCTGACAACCTTCCCTGGCATGGCCATTCCTAAGGAGCCAAGTTCAATCTGCTTGCCAAAGTCTTCACGGAGAAGGCCCCCACTTGGGTTTAATATTGCACCATTTCTAAGACTCAAAGTGGTAATGTCTTTGCAGTGCACTCACAGGCCTGGTCTCATGGACCTCTCTCCCACTGGGCTTCATTTTTTCATTCCTATTCTCTTTCATGCGCCAGCTACTTGCAAGAGCCTAAACCAGTAAAGTCTGCAGTAGAAAGGAAACAGAGATGGTAGATCACTTGCCACCATAATGGGAAATGGCACCGCTAATCCAAAAGAACGATCTGCCTGTGCCAGTTTCAGTGAACTCCATACATGTCCGCTTTGGTCATGTTGAACCTTCCCGGGCTGTTGTAAAGGAAACTCTCATTTTCCTTTACAGATTCACACAGACCCTCTCTGCTCCAAACGCCTGTGGGGTTTGCCACCAATCAACTCTGTGACATCAGCTGGGTGTCCTACAATTCAAAGAAGTTCTGACACTATCTGCCTGGAGATAGCATCGGATCCCAGAAGTTAAGGGCTCATGAGTCCCACAAGACTGCATTCCCCGCTTCCTTCAGATGCCAACTACAAGCCCAGGTTGTCTCCTATGCTTCCGACCGCTGGCTATACATCAGAGGTTCCCTGGACCCCTCCTCAGGTTTAATGAATTTGCCAGAGCAGCTCATAGAACTCTAGATAAAGATTTAACTTACTAGATTACCAGCTCATTATAAAAGGATATAACTCAGGATCAGCCACATGAAGAGATGCACAGGGCAAGGTTTAGGGGAAAGGGTGTGGAGCTTCCGTGCCTTCTCTGGGCATGCTACTCTTCCAGCATCTCCAAGTGTTCACCACCCCTGAAGCTCTCTGAACCCCACAGTTCACGGATTCTATGGAGGCTTCATTATATAAGCATTGTTGATTAAATCACAGGCCATTAGCAATCAAGTCCATCTCTCCAGCCCTTCTCCCCTCCCCAGGGGCCAGGGGGTGGGACTGAAAGTACCAAACCTCTAATCTTGCGGTTGGTTCCCCTGGCAACCAGCCCCCATCTTTAGGTACTTTCCAAAAGCCACCTCATTAACATAACCTCAGGTGTGGTTGAAAGGAGCTTATGAATAAGATACTGCTTTCAACTTTCTATCTCTGGAGCTACTTTAGGACAAAAGATCAAATATAACAAAAGCCTCTTCCATAGCTCTTATTGCTTAGTAAATTATAAGGGTTTTAAGAGATGTGTGCCAGGAACTGAAGGGAGACCAAATATAGAGTTGACCCTTGAACAATGTGGGTTGGAACTGCACAGGTCCACTCACACCTGGATTTTTTACAGTACAGTAAATGTTATTTTCTCTTCCTCCTGATCTTTTCCTTATGATTCTAATCTTCTCAATAACATCTTCTTTTATCTAGCTTACGTGAAGAATATTGAATATAATACATGTAACATACAAAATGTGTGTTACTCGACTGCTATCGGTAACGCTTCTGGTCAACAGTAGGTTATTAGTAATTAGGTTTTGGGGGAGTCAAAAGTTATATGTGAATTTTCGATGTGGGGGGCTGGTAGTGGTGCCCCCAACCCTTATGTTGTTCGACGAGTCAACTGGATATTTCTTCTAATAACTCACAATATCACAAATGCCCCTCCTTCTTCTTCTTTACTGGCTCTTCATGGCCCACTTTCAGGCCCTTCAACTGGGACCCTGACAGGTGAAAGCTCAGGCTACTTGCTGTATCCAGCTCTCTCCCCCATTTGTATAAAATTATGAAACTTAACAGAAGGACCCTCAGAGGCAACCTAGTCCTTCAACTCATGAAGGAAAATGAGGCCCAAAGGAAGCAGTCCGGCGCCCAAGATCACACAGTACCTCAGAGGTTCAGCCAGCGTTCGACCCCAGATCTGTACTTCTGCCACAATGTCAAACTACCTGGAGAGTTCTAGATTTTCTAAAGTAAGTAGTGTTACAGCAAAGTCCCTCACAGCCTGCAGTCACCTCTGAACTTGTTCTGGCCACCCAACACTCTTCCTCTTCCTCTCCACTGAACTCCAATTCATCTGTCAAGACTCAGCTGAAATGTCCTTTCATTCAGACCCTTTCCTGACCCTCAAAACCCCCAAGATGGGAGCAGGTGCTTCCTTATGTTCTCACAGCTTCTTTGTACTTCCCTTATGGCAGGATATTATACGCTGTTGTTTAATGAGACTAGTATAACCTGCAGTGATCTATGACAGTGATCATTAGGTAGGACCATGCCTGCCTTGAAGACCACCATGCCTCCAGCTCTCAGCACAGAAAAACTAACTGAATGAAAAGAGTGTTACTACTCTTCACTCATTTAAGGGAGTCATTCCCACTCTTACTCTAAACCTCTCCCCAGAATCAGTGAAAGAGTCACTACCTTCTTCTAGGCCTTATCAGTCAGAATGAGAGAAAGGAGGCACCAGGGTCAACTCCTGAGAAGAAACGGCAGGTATTGTGGTAGGACAGTGGGAGGGAGGGCCAGGAAACCTGCAGAGAAACTGGCCAGGATGGAAGACTGAATGGCCACTGAATGCCCCGGTTCCAGGACCCTTCTGTGCCCAGCCATGGGGACACAGGAAAAGGTCAGGCCGACCGATGCCCTCCACAAATTTCTGAGTCTGCTCTGTGACCTAGGTGTAGTACTGATCGAGAACCCGAGTTTCCCTGTCTGAGAACAAGAATGCCATCTGCTTTCCTTATTGGAAAAGAAAACCATAAGCTTTGAGAAAAGCTGCACGTGCCAAATGGCAACTACCGTCTCACGCAGTGACGCGATGTGTGCCCTCGGGTGCTCTGCCCTTGCCTGGGCTTCTATTTTCCCCGATCCGTAGGGGGACCCGATTGAACTGCGTAACCTCACGAGCCTGAGCCCTGCCTCGGTTACCCCGCCCTGCACAGCCGAACCCCTCAGCCCACCTTAGCCCGGCTCGGGCCCTGGCCAAAAGAGAATGTGCCCTGGCCTCCCTCACCTGTTGGGGGCGCATAGGCCCGGGCAGGGATCAGGGGGTTTGGCCCCGGCCGCACGGAGGCGGTGAGGGCACCCCGGGGCGGGTTCAGGAGGCGGCGCCCGGCGTGCCGCAGCCGGAGGCAGCTCCTCCACATCGCGCCCGAGAGCCTGGGAGGACGACCGGCGCGAAACCTGAGAGCAGGAAACGGAGCGAAGGGATCCCCAAAGCCGCACGCTCAGGCTGTACGGAAACCTGCCTCCACCTCCCCAGCGCCCTCAGCCTCCCCTGGACGCCGCCATCTTCCGCATGACACCGGCGGCGCGCCGTCGCTCCTGCGCGCCTCCTGCGCACACCCCCAGTCAATCAGCATCACAAACGCACCTCGCCCCGCCCCCTCCACGCCGCGCCTCGGGAAGAAGACTACAAGTCCCAGAGGGCCCCTCGCGCACCCCGCCACGTGTTTTCTCCGCCCGCCAATGAGTGGAAGCGCCGCGTGAGCCTGTTCCCGCCCCCCCCGGCGTGCCTGAGCCAATCGAAAAGGTGGTGTGTGTGCGAGGGCAAGTGGGGAGGGGGACTCAGCTCAGGACAGGGAGGCCCTGCTCGCAGGTCCCGGGGTCCCGGTGGCAGCCGGAGCGCTTGGTCCGCAGGCAGCGGGCGGGTGGTCCCCCCTCCGCCCCCACCCCGCGCGTGCGCGCCCCGGCCCCTCCCTCCCTGCCACCCCCCTCGGCTCCCGCGCGGCGGCGGCGGTTCCTCTCCCCCCTCCCCCCAGCCCTGGCTCCGGGGGACCCCGCGATGCCGGTCCGCACCGAGTGTCCCCCGCCGGCCGGTGCCTCGGCCGCCTCCGCGGCCTCGCTCATCCCGCCGCCGCCCATCAACACCCAGCAGCCCGGCGTGGCCACCAGCCTGCTCTACAGCGGCTCCAAGTTCCGCGGCCACCAGAAGAGCAAGGGGAACTCGTACGACGTAGAGGTGGTGCTGCAGGTGAGCGCCGGGCCGGGCCGGGGCCCGAGGGCCTCCTCGCGGCGCTCACGGGCCGTGCCCGCCGCCGGCTCCTCGAGCCCGCAGCCGCGGACCAGGCCCTCGCCGCCGGGCCTCCTGCACCAGGCGCTTCACCCCCTGGGACCTGCCCAGCTGGTGTCTCACACTCTCCAAGCCCCAACCCTGACCTGCCCCTCACACCGGAGCCTGTCGTGAGCAGCTCCTGGCCGACCCTGAACACTCTCCCAGACCGTGACCGGCCTGGCTGGGATCCGGAAGCCCCCCGTGACTGGCCACCCTCAGACCTGAGTCCTTCCTCCCCAGGACCTGTCGCCCCGAGATCAGCTCTCCCTCCAGTCCCTCTCTGACCCTGAAGAACTCTCCATTGGTTTCTCCTGACTCGGGACTCTACCCGTGGCTGGGCCCATGTCAAATTATCCCAGACCTGAGACAGTCCTCCCCCCCCTCCCCTTTCCTCTGTCCCAGGGATCCTCAAACCCTGGGGCCCTCCTCCCAGGATTTCTTCCTTGGGAGAGCCTAGTTAGTCCCTTCCGACCCGGGATCACACTCCCTCCATTGGCCCCTGAGCCCTGAGAGCCTCCTCAACCCACAACTGATTCCTAGCCTTTGGTACTTACTCTCTGAAGACCAGGCACTCACATCCTGGGTGCTGCTGGGTGGAGCTTCTCCCAGTCTGTTGGGATCTTGCCTCCTGCCCCCCCCCCCGCCCCCAACCCTGAGCTGCCCCAGTCTCTTCCTGGCCCAGGCACCCAGCTGCCCCCAGCCCCAGGCCTCCTGCTCTAGGCTTCTCATGCTCCCTACCTCCATTCTCTGGCCACCTCCAGTCCCCTCCCAGTCTCCCCAGCCTACCTCCCCAACCCATACCTTCATCTTCCTCCTCCTTGGCTCCAGGGGACCCTCTTTCTGTGTTCTTAACTTTTATCTGTACTGCCAGGGCTTCCTCCCAGTCTCTGATACTATGTGCTGGGAAATCGAACTCACCCAGTATTATCTCTCACACGGTATTTTCTTGCTGTCTGGGTACCACCCCCCCCCATTTGACCTGGATTTCTATGTACCTGCTGCCAGCCCCTGATAGCTTTGGAGCTGCTGCTTTACCTACCCTGGCTCTTCTGCATCTCACCCCTCTCATGCAAATAGTAACACACTTGACATTTTTTTCCCCAGTCAGGGATCAACAGTAGTTCATACTCCTCTCTCCCTTCCTTGCAAAACCTTCCTGTGTAGCTACCCTTGCCTGCCTCAGGACCCACTTTCCTCCTCCCTTTGCTCCTATTTTTCCTTAGCCTGATGCCCCACCTCCTGGGCTGTTCCCCAGAACCCCTCCCCATCTGCCCCCTTGAAAGGCCTTACAGAAGCTTTGTGGACCTAGTGTGCCACCTTACCTCTCCCATGTGTGAGGACAGAACCTAAGATTGTCTTTGCCTTATGTGCCCTCAGCTCTTTAAAAATGTTAAACCTTGAACAGCCTCTCTTCTGAGCGAGTAGGTCTCCCACCCAAAAGACAATGGGGATACATTTTCTTTCTGCTGATAGCAGAGCATCGTTGGCCTCTTTTTTCTCACTGTTTTGGGGGAATCAATAGTTTCATCTTTTTTCGGTTGGGAAAACTGCATCTTCACGTTAATTGTATCTTTGGTCTGTAAACTTAACTTTCTCTCATGAGCCGTGGTATTTATTATAACTGGAAAACTGTTGTGACTGATTCACTCAGTCTTCATAATTATATGCCTAATGTGGTGATCCCTCTTCTCTTTTGAAATGTGAGAGTCTCTTTTAAAATGTGAGACTTTATTATGAAGGTAAAGGCTTTTGCTTTTTCTTTCCTTTTTTTGTGGGGGGCAACATCATAAAATTCTGGCAGTGAGATCTTGGTGTGGGTCATCTTTGGAATGATCTTGAATTTGTGCCCATTGTTTAATTTGACGGTTTCTGATGTGGTAGGGGACTCCTGGTAGGGTCGCTAAGTGTCAAAGAGCAGTCGTCTTTGGCTTCTTCAGCAGCTCCCCCATTCTGTCATTGGTGTGTTGTTTCTGACGTCCTGTCAGGTGCCCACTTCCTTGTGAACCAGTTGAAGTGGTGATTGAGTTGGTGCAGGACTGACTGGTCTCAGGGCAGCCCAGAGCAGAAGCCTGGCAGAAACTTCAGTAGGATGTCTGCTGGTGGGAGCCATGGTCATGCCCAGGAATGCTGCCCTACATCTGGATTGGTGAGCTGTTTGTTCATCATTGAGACAGTCAGTGGCATGTGAATTGCCCCATCGTCACCCTGGTTTTTCAGCCGGGACCAGTTTCTTGGACTCAGCCTTCTTTGCTGCTTGCTTTCTTTTTTTCCTAACAGCTTTATTGAGATATAATTCACCTACCATGCAACTCACCCACTGAAGGTGTACAAGTCAGTATTTTTTAGTATATTCACAGAGTTGGGTAAGCATCACTGCAAACTAATTTTAGCACCCTTTCATCACCCCAGAGAGAAACCCCACCCCTTCGTCGTCACCCCTCTCCAACTCTCAGCAACCACTCATTTTATTTTCCCTAAGATTTGCTTATTCTGGCCATTTCATATACATGGAGTCATACAATATGGGACCTTTTATATCTAGCTTCTGTCACTGAGCATCACATTTTCAAGGTTCGCCCACGTTGTAGCAAGTGGCCGTGCTTCATTATTTTTTATTGTTGCATAGTAATCCGTTGTATGGATATATAGCATTTTGTTGATCCTTTGAGCAGTTGGTGAATATTTGGGTGGTTTCCACTTTGGGGCTATTGAGTAATGATGCCGTGAGCATTCCTGTATGAGCTTTTATGTGGACACATCTTCATGTGTCCTCGGTAGATACCTGGGAGTGGCATCCTGGGTCCTATGGCAGCTCTATGCTTACCATTTTGAGGAACTACCACACCGATTTCCAAAGCACCTACCCCATTTTTCATTCCCACCATCTGCGTGTGAGGGTCCAGTTTCTCCACAGCCTTGTGGACACTTGCAACTTATTGCCTATCTTTTTGATCGCAGTCATGCTAGTGGGTGTGAAGTGGTATCTCATTGTGGTTTTAATTAGAATCTCCTTAATGACTAACGATGTTGTACCTCTTTCCGTGGGCTTTCTGGAGCACTTTTTTTTTTTTTTTTTGAATTTCCAGTTTAGAGAGTTCCCCAAACCTTTGTGAGATTCTGGCTGGGTTTTCCTTGTTGCCATTGTTACTGTAACTACTCTGTTTCTCCTCTGCCATCCAAGGAGCCAAGACCAAAGTGAAAGCCAGGGTCACAGTGAAGGGGTACTAGAAAGAGCAGCTGTTGGACACAGCTATGCTGTGAGACTTTCTTGCTAAACATTTGCCTTGCTATCTTTCTCATCGAGATGCTGGCCTGGCGTTTGGTTCAAGTTCTCTGCATTGTAGTGTATTTGAGGTCACCAACCGTCATGGAGCTGAGTTTGGGCAGAATGGGAGAGACACATGGTTGAACAGAGGCCAAATTGAAAGTCTGATTCTTGAGCGTGTGATAATCTATGCAAAATGTTAGCCAACTTCCAGTTCAGTTTTTAATCTTATTAGCAGGTATCCTGGCCACCTGATACCCTTTCCAGCAGCTGTGAAACCCCAAACTATATTGAATTCAGTGAGAATTGCATACATGAAATTTAAGGCCTCAAGTTAGAGCTGTGTGTCCTTTAAATAAAGTTCTTTGCCGAACCGTGTTAGTGCAGATCAGCCACTTTAGATCGCATCCAGCGCCAAGGCCAGCCGATGAGGATATTTTAAGTGTTTTGGCAGTTTTTACATGGACTACCTTTGTCACCAGCACCAAACTGTGGGAGCATTTCAGCTTCATTGAAGCCCGTTTGCTTTGGTGCTGACATCATCTGGCCGATTGTGTTCATTACAGTTTTTAAGGATTGCCTGAGTAATTTATGGTGTAGATGAAAGTAGTTAAGTCCCCAAATCTGATAAATACCACAAAACTTTGCTAGTCTCTTAAAATGAGACCTCACTTAACATGTTAAAATCTCAACATGCCGCAGTAGCATGGTACTTGGGTTTGCTTTCATTCCAGGGGTCTGTTTTGTAAGGGAGCCCAATTTATCATGAAATCTGAAAATCTGCCTCTTCAGGATCGATCTGTGTAGATTTGGGTGAAATGTATCAGTCCAGGTGCACTCAGCTGCAAGTAACAATACCCACTTCAAATTAGTTTAAAGAATGAGTGAATCCAGCATCTCAGATTACAAGAAGCTTGGAGGTGGCTTGGTTCCAGATTGGCTCATTCAGGGGCCCCATTTCCTTCCATGTTTCTCTGCTGCCATCCTTGGCATTTCCCGGCCTGTTTGTCCTCATGGTCTCTAGATGGCTGCCATGGGCCTGGGCACCATGTGCAAGTCCTGCCACCACCAAGGGAAGAAAGAGGGCCTCCTCAAAAGCCAGCATCTTGCCCAGAGGCACCCAGGAGACTGACACACATATCTGATTGGTCAGAACTGGGTCACTCACCCCTAAACCGATGACTCACAAGGGGTCAGGGGCGCACATCTGCCTTGGATCCATCAGGGCTGACCAGGTCTTGTAGGGGCCAGGGTGGGTGCCAGAACAGGATCTGGGCCCTGGCAGCATGGAAAAGTAGGAAATTGGATGTTGGATAGGCACCCTGCGGTGTCTTAGCAGCCCATAATGGGTGGATACTCAGCCTCAAAATCTCCCATGCCTGTTACCCCTGTTTATTTTAGCCTCCCCCAACTCTTCACCAAGAAATATAAGCATTCGTCTGTGAAGTGGGCAGAGTGAACACTTAACGATATATTCCGATCTAGGGTCAGCATTTTGGTTCATAACTGAAATTTTTGCTCGAGCAGTCTTCATACGATGCCTTTCCTGAATATGCTGCCCATTTCATAAAGAACTAATGCAGGATTGTGCTTAGTGTAAATATAGGGGAGGAGTACACTTCTGAGACCCGCGGGAGGCCTGTGTTGAGCGAGCTCGCTGCTCCAAAAAGGCACTTTGGTCTCAAGATACTCAGCTGAAGGAGGTTGAGAGGGTCCTGGGATCAACTTGCTTCGTCTGAACAGGCCCGTGGGTAGGGAGGACTCACGAAGCTCTCAAAGGCCGGTGAGCCCTGGCCAAGCCCGGCGGGCACCAACCTCCAGGCCTCCCTTAGCCTGCCTGGCCTGTGACCTCAGGACGCGTGGATTTCCACAGTACCCCAGCTTGTCTCCCAGGGGTTCCTCCATTTGTAACAAGATTGTGTGTCCTTTCTTTCCAGCATGTGGACACAGGGAACTCTTACCTTTGTGGATACCTGAAGATAAAAGGCCTTACTGAGGTAAGCACTCCTTCAAATGAACTAGAACTAGATGGTGGGCCGCATGCCTGGCATTCTCAGGGTGTGAAGGGCCAGGAGCATTGACCCTGAGGCCTGATCGAAGCGCCCTGAGAAGTGTTGTTATTGTACTTCACACACAAAGCATGTAGTTTTAATGTGCCCTGTTGGAAAGTGTACAGATGCACAAAACTTTAAAGTTTATAAATAGGGCTCCTGGGTGGCTCAGTTGGTTAAGCAACTGCCTTCGGCTCAGGTCATGATCCTGGAGTCCCGGGATCGAGTCCCGCATCGGGCTCCCTCCTTGGCGAGGAGCCTGCTTCTCCCTCCAACCCTCCCCCCTCTCCTGTACTCTCTCTCTCTCATTCTCACTCTCTCAAAATAAATAATAATTTATTTTAAAAAAAATTTATTAAAAAAAATAAATCTTTAAAAAAATAAAGTTTGTAAATAAGGTAACAATGTTACCAACACTGTTGATTTTCTTTTTAATCCTTTGGTGGGGAAAAAATAGAGTAGGAATATGGCTACCCATTGTCATAAGTTTAATGGTTTCTGGGATACGCATGAATCCTTCCAGAACTGAAGTCTTTGGCATCCCTTAAACCCCTTAGCTCACTGGAACAATGAAAGGTGATCATCTAGTTCCTAGCTCAAGGAGCTGCTATGGAAAATGTAGGCTGTTTTCCTTTCTCTGAACCAACTTTTTAGATCTCAGAACTCCTGGGAATATGGAAAGCAAGAAAGAGCATCCTTTCTTTCCCTGCTAGTGAGTAAATAGGAAGAGGAAGGAGGGGACGGAGCTGGCCGCCTAACTCCTCCATGAGGGCCTGGGCCTAACGTGGCTGCCAGGCCCTGTTGGCCTGATCATTTCTCCGTGTCAATGGCCCGGCTCCACCGAGGCTTAGAGAGGGCCGGGAGGACGTCCTTGCTTTGCCCCTTGCTGGTGCCGGGGCAAAGCAAGGAAAGAGCTTTCTTTCTCTTTCTTCATCTGTAAAATGAGAATGAAAAATACCCGCTCTGCTACCGTTGTGGTGAACACAGCACAACGTGTAGCATTGTCGAATCACTACACTGGCCCGAAACCCATGTAATGGTGGCATCAACTAGACTTGGCTAATCAATAAAAAGAATAGAATAGAGGGCACCTGGGTGGCTCAGTTGGTTAAGCGACTGCCTTCGGCTCGCTGATCCTGGAGTCCCGGGATCGAGTCCCGCATCGGGCTCCCTGCTCGGCGGGGAGTCTGCTTCTCCCTCTGACCCTCCTCCCTCTCGTGCTCTCTATCTCTCATTCTCTCTCTCTCAAGTAAATAAATAAAATCTTTAAAAAAAATTAAAAAATTAAAAAAAAAAAGAATAGAATAAAATAAACCTGCGCTCTCTACTCCAGGGGCTTGTCCTAGAGGGGAAGAAACAATGTAAGAGCAAGAGGCGACTCCAATGTGATACAAACTGAGGGATTCTAACCAAGGCCCTGAACATCCTCCGTCTTGAGACAATTGTTTCCGTCTCTTTGATTCACTCTGGTTCTCCCACTTCTCTATTAGAAGGTTGAGAATTGTCTGTGAAGTTTGTTGTTGAGATGAAAAGGTAACCTGTTCCTCACCTCCAGAAAATTATCCAGTAGAGAAGGGGTAGAAAATGAGAGCAGAATGAAGGATTCCAGCCTTTGAATTTACGGTAGCAGGAAATACACAGAATATGCTCAACCCATAGGCAGCCAGATGTACCTACTGAAGGCAGAACATAAACAGTTGGCTTCATGAGGAAACCAGCAGAATCTGGCACATGGAATGCTACCACTGACTCTGAAATCAGCCATGCTGGTCGTAGGAAGGTGCACAGAAATGGCAAGTAGCATTAAGAATCCTGAAACGGGGGTGCCTGGGTGGCTCAGTCGTTAAGCGTCTGCCTGCGGCTCAGGTCATGGTCCCAGGGTCCTGGGATCGAGCCCCGCATTGGGCTCCCTGCTCGGCGGGAAGCCTGCTTCTCCCTCTCCCACTCCCCCTGC